AAAAAAAAAAAAAAAAAAAAAAAAAAAATTAAAGAAGGATTGGGGATGCAGCTCAGTGGTAGAACATACACCTAGCATGAACTGAGGCCCTGGGTTCAATTCTTAGCACACAAAAATAAATAAATAAATAAATAAAATAAACACAGTTACCATATAATCCAGCAACTCCACTGATAAGATACAAATTGCAGATAAACAAATACATGTATACACATACTCATAACAACACCATCTAGAAACAGCTTAAATGTCCATCAATAGATAAATAAAACAAATTATGGCATATCCACACAATGGAACATTATCCAACCATTAAAAAGGAATAAAGTCATGATAAATGCATCTCTAAAACATGCCAAATGAAAAAAGCTAGACACAAAAGCTCCATATTCTATGATTTCATTTATATTAAATGTCCAGGATAGGTAAGTGCACAGGGACAGAACATATATTGGTGGTTGCCAGGGCCTAGGGAAAGGAGAATAGGGAGCTGCAGCTTAATAGGAACAGGGTATCCTTTTGGGATGATGGAAATGTTTAGAAACTAAATAGTGGTGATGGTCATGCAATACTGGGACTGTACTAAATATCACTGAATTGTTTAGTTATTTTTTTAAATATTTTTTTTGTACTGGGACACAATACCTTTATTTATTTATTTTTATGTGGTGCTGAGGATCGAACCCAGGGCCTCGCACATGCTAGGCGAGCGCTCTACGCTGAGCCACAACCCCAGCCTGAATTGTTCATTTAAAAAGGGTTCATTTTATGTTCTGTGAAATTTTTTTTTAACCAAAACAGTTAAAAAATAATAATAACGAATCCTCCTTCAACTTGTAGAAAGGAAACAGAAAGGAAACAGAATGAAAGTACCTATTCTCTGATAACAAAGGCATTCACTTTCTCAAAACTAACACAGATTTTTCAAACTGCCCCCTTTGGTGCCCTGGATGTTGCCACCCTCCTAAATTCTGTCTTGGGCCTTCTTTCCATGGTAAGGAAGCCTGAGTGGGGGAAGAGGAGGGGATACCTGTGCCAGCTTCACAGGGATCTCTCTCTCTCGGACCCTCCACATCCAACGGGAAGTGTTAGATCTGAGAACGATCCCCTTAAATCTACCCAAGTTCATGTAGCCCTGGGACATTCCTCTGGCACTACAGGGATATCCATGCCTACACACCAAATGGGCAACACTGCACAGTATACTGTTTGGGAACACCTGCAGCGCACATAGAGAGTGAAGCTGTGGCCATGAGCAAAGGAAGTCTATGTAAGAAATTCAGAAGCAAAGACACTTGTTTGTTGGGGGGGGGGGGGTTCTTTGCAAAGGCACTCCAAGGTCCTGGGAATTTAGTTCTTAAACTGGGGTCAGGGACCCCATTCACCTTTCCCTCTGGATGCAGATTTGATGCATTCTTCTTTGATGAGTGTGAGGGGAGACTGCTGAGCTGGCAAGGGGGAGGTAAGATGTGACTCAGAAGAGAGGGGCTGAGATTGACGAAGAATTTAAAAAAAAAAAAATACAGCAAATACTTGTCTGGGTTTATAGACCTAAAGTCAGAACCAGTAATGGGGATATGGAGCAAGGTTGGGAGTGAGATGTAGGAATGACTGATTTTCAGCAAGCTCTGAATCTGAGAAGTAGTCAAGAAAGGGGAGGCTGGGGATGCAGCTCAGTGGTAGAGCATGTGCTTAGTATGCACAAGGTCCTGGGTTCGATCCCCAGCTCCACTAAAAAAATACATATGTTCATTACCTACATATTATTGTAAGGAGGATGTCACTTCTCAGCCACAAAGATAACTGGGTTTAACTGGGCAATTTAATAAAAATGAGTATTAGAGGGGGGCTGAAGGAGGCTCAGTGAGAAGGCATAGCCATCTACCAAGAGATAAGATCGGAGTGTGGTAAATCCCGACTCTCAGAAGAGCAGACAAGGTAGGAAAGACCCTTGGTGGGGAAAAGGGCTCAGGCAGCCTTGCTCTATAGGGAAGGAGGAAGTAGGGAAAGGCTGACAGAAAAGGCACAGCTGGGGATTCCAGGCCCCTGAGTGGTGAGCAGGTACATGTGTCACCCCAAGGGTGCAATCTGTGGGCTACTTGGAGAATGGCATGCTGGCATATTTTGGGGGGGATGGAGGGGCAGGGTGTACTGGGGGTTGGATCCAAGGTGCTTTTTAAACACTGAGCCACATCCCCAGTCCTTTTATTTTTCCCAAGGCAAGGTCACACTAAGTTGCTTAGGGCCTTGCTAAATTGTTGAGGTTGACCTCAAACTTGCCATCCTCTTGCCTCAGCCTCCTGAGCTGCTAGAATTACAGGCATGAGCCACCATGCCCAGCTAGGCATCTTAAATTTCAAACAGAATAAATGTGGTGCATGCCTATAATCCCCGCTACTTGAGAGATGAGGCAGGAGGATGCAAGTTTTAGGCCAACCTGCATAATATAGAGAACTTATCTCAAAATAAAAAGGGGGGAAGAGTCTGGCATGGTTGGGTACGCCTATAATCCCAGCAATTCAGGAGGCTGAGGCAAAAGGACCTCAAGTTTGAGGCCAGCCTCAGCAACTTAGTGAGGCCCTGTCTCAAAAATAAAAAGGGCTGGCGATATGGTTCAGTGGTTAAGTGCCACTGGGTTCAATCCTGAGTACCAAAAGGGGGGGGGCAGGTTGGAGAGGATAAAAAGCTTAAGGATGTAGCTCAGTGGTAGAGCAACCTTCTAGGTTCAATCTCCAGTAACCACACACTTACATACCTACAGCCCCCCACCCCAGAAAAAAATCAGAAAGTACCAGATGCTGATAATCATCAGAGTGAGATCCTAGGAAGAAAGTAGCTTCATTGGAATCAAGATAAAATTTGTTGGAAGGAGACCAAAAAGCTTTAAGAGGGAGGTCTTTACTATGTACCTTATATTCTTTTTGAATTCTGACTCATGAATGATTCTATAAAAAATAAATATTATATATATATTATATATATTATATATATATATATATATAATATATTATATATATGTATCTCACCAGGACTCCTGTCCTGCAGGCAGAGCCAAGTGTAAATTGGAAAAGAGAGAGGGGAAAATGTGAAGATTTGGCTGTAAGACAGGAAGGTTTTATTAAAAAGGATTTTAAAAGTCCAGGCTGATGGCCCTCCTCCTTTCCTACTGATTGCAAGATATATAGTATTCCAGTCTGTGCTAAGCACAATTATAAAAGTATACCCACAGTTGAAAATACTTTAAATGCCTCAGAGAAATATCTGGCCTTTCCTACTGTTTTGGATTATAGAGGTCACTATCCTCCTCCTTGAGTAACTAAGAGTGTATCCTAAACCATAAACTAGCTAGCCTTGAAAAATTCTCCCAGATATGCAACACAAAAATGCACACTCTTGGGTGCAGTGGCACAGGCCTGCAATCCCAGTGACTTGGGAGGGTGAGGCAGGAGGATTGCAAGTCCGAGGCCAGCCTCTACAATTCAGCAAGACTTTATCTCAAAAAATATAAAGGACTAGGGGTGTAGGTCAATGGTAGAGGACCCTGGTTTCAATCCCTAGTATTGATGGTAATAATAATAAAATAATAAAAAATAAATGCACACACCCCTTATTGAGAGTAAACTATTATGGGCCCATGGAGAGATAAAAGATTTCAGAAAGTAATTGCTCCACTACATTGTAGAAAATACTGAAACCTCTGGAGCCTTGATGACTTGAAGCCTGGACTAGCTAGAAGCAGCAGTACACATAAGTAATCCCAAATATTCGGGAGGGTTAGCAGTAGGATCACAAACTCTAGGCCAGCCTGAGCAACTTAGTTAGACTCTGTCTCAAAATAAAATAAAAGGGTGGGGCCTAGTGGCACACATCTGTGATACCAGCAACTCAGATGGCTGAGGCAGGAGGACTGTAAGTTCGAAAGAGACCCTCTCTCAAAATAAAAATAAAAAGAACTGGGGATGTAACTCAGTGGTAAAGCTCTCCTGGGTTCAATCCTCACTACCAAAAAATATTAAAATTCAGTTAAACGGTTGGGAAGCTCAGTAGTGTGTGAAAAGTAAAAGACATATACTGGACTAAAACTTAGACCTTATGACTCTTAGCTGTTCCTTGCATCTATTTGGATTTTACTTCTAAAGCCCACTAAGAATACTGAATTTACTTGTTCTTGACACTAGGCCAAGACATTTGGTACTGCAAGCTAAGGCCAGGAGAGCCCCTTGTCTTATACTGGCAGAAGTTGAAGAACAAGAGATAGGGATCTAGATGATTCTAGAACCCTTGGATGGAGTATATAATCCCAGCTACTCAGGCCTTACATCATTTCTCCATCAGACTGTATAGGAAAGGATAGGAAAGCACTCTGGCTTGATACTATGTAAAGCTGTAACCAGAAGGACCAGGCACTTGAAGGATTCATTGACTCTCAATTCCACCTACTACCAAGTACCACCAGTCCTAAACTACAAGCTGAGATTAGTCCCCTATTCATCCACATTCCCAGAAAGAAGTAGCAAAAAGAAGAAGGATATAAAACTTTGCAAATTCTTGTTCTTAATCTAACAACTTTTTTTTTGATACCAGGGATTGAACCTAGGTGTGCTTAACCACTAAGTCACATCCCCAGCCTTTTTTAATATTTTATTTAGAGGCAGGGTTTCACTGAGTGTCTTCGGGCCTCTTTAAGTTGCTGAGGCTAACTTTGAACTCGTGATCCTCCTGCCTCAGCCTCCCAAGCTTAGAGGCATGCAATTATATTATTATTAAAGGTGTGCAAAACCAGGCCTGGTACCTTTTTGTATTTCTACTCTGATTGGAAAATGATGATGATGATTTTTTGTAGTACTGGAGATTAAACCTAGGGGCTCCCACATGCTTGGTAAGTGCTCTGTCACTGACCTACATCCCCAGCCTTTTTTATTTTATTTTATTTGCCCAGGCTGATGTGGAACTTGCAATCCTCCTGCCTCAGGAGGATTAAATAGATAGATTACAGGTGTGCACCATCTCATTTGGCTCAGACTGACATTTTCAAAAGAACTTTAAAATTCTGTTTTCCTGGTGGGTGTTGTGGCACACACCTGTAATCCAAGCTACTTGGAAAGCTGAGGAAAAAGGATCAAAAGTTCGAGACCAGACTGGGCAACTTAGTAGGTTAGAATATATAAGGATGGGTATTTTGAAAGGAGACAAACAGGGAAGGAAAGAGGGACTGTATTTGTAAACTAAAAACTCCATGAACACCTCACTTTCACTCCCCAGGCCTGTCTTCCTTAAGGCCTGAATTCTTAAGAGATCCAATAAGTCTCAGAATATTATAAATCCAAATTAGTGTCTATATTCCTTATTAGTTTATAGAATGTATTTCTAGACTGATTAAAAGAAGCCGAGAGAGAGAGAGAGAGAGAGAGAGAGAGAGAGAGAGAGAGATATAATGTTTAAAAACCCATGATACAGGGCTGGGGTTGTGGCTCAGTGGTAGAGCGCTTGCCTAGCATGTGTGAGGCACTGGAGTTGATTCTCAGCATCGCATATAAATAAATGAATAAAATAAAGGTCCATCAACATCTAAAAAAGATTTTAAAAAATGATACAGTTCAAGATCTATTAACTAGAAAACGTCAGCCTGAAAATTCTAAGACCAAAGCCATCATGACTCACTGTATACTCTCCATGAGCAAAAAAAAAAAAAAAGGATCCAGATGCTATGGCACATGCCTAGAATCCCAATGACATGGGAGACTAAATCAGAAGGATCACAAGTTCAAGACCTGCCTCTGCAATTTAGCGGGACCCTGTCTCGAAATAAAAATTGAAAAATGGTTGGGGATGTAGCTCAGTGGTAAAGCTCCCCTGGG